CTTCTTTAAGAAAAAAAAAAAGCAACCATTTTATGTTTTCAAAGTTGGTAGATAATATTAAAAATGTGTTTTCACTAGTAATGTCATGAAGGATACACTGCCTAACTTCTCCCTCTGACCTCCCTGCTCAGCAACTGTTACGATTTTCACTTTAAGGTGAGGAGTACATGGCCTCCTAAATTGCTGTAAAGGACAAGCAAAAGGTAGAGCAAGACCCCTCTCAGTTTCACTCTGGGCGAATTAGGCACTACATGGTAGTTCATACCTTTATAATAGCTATAACTTTTTATTTTTGTTCTAAAAGTTGTTTGCTTATGGCTGATTTTTATAAAAGCAAATGGTTTTCTATCTAAATAATTATTCTAAATGGGTACAAGCATAAATAATATTTTAAATTGGAGTTAATCATTGACAAGCTGCACAAGTAATATACCCAGGGACTTCTCAATGAAAAAAAGTTCAAGGATCAAACTCTCCTTAGAGGTTTTATTCCAATGGATTTCACCCATGAAGGTATGCTTATAGGTCTCGACAGCACAGGTAGCCCTCATGTAGGACTCCTAGTAATGTATTCCACTTTTATTGATTGTAAGGCTTCTGCAATTGATCACTCTAAAAGATAATGAGTACAAAAAGGAGTGAATTTAATGTTTAAGAAATATATTTTTCTCCCTCCATTTCAAGCGGCATTCTATAAAATGAATGCTCAACAACTATTCAAAAAAAAAATCCTTGTTCTATAAATGCGTTTGTACATCATCTGACTTTGTTCTTTTTCTTTTCTTTCTTTCTTTATTTTATTTTATTTTATTTTTGAGTCGGAATCTCACTCTGTCGTCCAGGATGGAGTGCAGTGGCACGCTCATGGCCACCCACAGCCTTGATCTGCTGGGTTTCAGGCAATCCTTCTATCTCAGGTGCCACCATGCCAAGTTAATTTTTTGATTTATTGTAGAGACGAGGTTTCGCCATGTTGCTCAAGCTGGTCTTGAACTCCTGAGCTCAGCAGTCCTCTCTCCTCTGCCTCCCAAAGTGCTGGGATTACAGGCTTGAACCATTGCACCTGACTGACTTTGTTCTTAAGTAATTATTTGATTGTCTTTAATATACTCTAACTTTGATTGCAATGATTAATATTTGCCAGTAGTTTTTCCAGCAAATATACAAAATTCTGTCCTGTGAGGTATTTATTTGACTACAGACTATCAGTCAATTTCTCAGCAATATGCACTCACAAATTAGTAGCCACAAATCAGGCCCCATAGTAAGGTGTATATTACAAAAATGTGTTAACCATGGACAGATGATTATAAAGTTGCAGTTATTACTGTTTATTGCTTTGATGTACTACAAGGGTAAAAGAAATGTGTGATTTTTCTTATTAACAATTTTAATTAACTTTTAATTGATTTCTAAGAAGATAAATGATTTCATTATAGCATCACATACTGAGCAGCTTGACTAGATATTAAACACTGATGCAAAGTTCTTGACAGTATGACTGATAGTAAGTGATTCTATGTTTGGTTATCTTGTCTAACATCTACATTCTCAATGATAGTAGTAAATAAGTGAAACTGCCTTACTCAACCGACCCATGTTACTTAACTTGCATAAGTTTATTTATGTTCCTCAATTAATAAGGATGTATAAAAAAGAGGAACTAGTTCTATATTTATATTCTATTGCCTTTGCCACCATTAGATGTATGTCTCAATTACTTCAACATTTTTAGAGTTGTTTCCTGGAGAATATCACAGTATTTTATTCCATAAGCAAAAAATATATTTCTTTTTGTGATAAATAGGTATTAGGTGAATTAAGTGATAGTAGATTAGGTCGAAGTGTGTGTGTGTATGTGTGTGTGTGTGTGTATACATACTAGACATATTACAATTTGTACTAATTTGTATAAATTTTGATTTGTATAAAAATCATGAAATCCTACTAATGAGGATGCCTCGTCTAACATTTACTTTCAACTACCTGTTGAATATTTGTTTGAGTATTTTCTCTGAGCAAATCATCCCATCACAAAATATGTATTGTCATGTATTTGCATCAGTCAACTTGACCATTCGATTATAAGATTTCAATTAAATACATAAATAAAAAATAAATTGAGCAAGAGACATTAAAATTGCTAATTGCATAATGATTGATTTTTGATCCTTTTTTTTTTTTTTTTTTTGGAGTTGGAGTCTCACTCTGTTGCCCAGATTGGAGTGCAGTGGCCGCTCCCGGCCACCGCAGCCTTTACCTGCTGGGCTCCAGCGATTCTTCTGCCTCAGCCTTCCAAGTAGCTAGAACTACAGGGTCTGAACCCGCAGGCTTAGGCAATCCACTCGTCTCAGTCTCCCAAAGCACTGGGATTGCAGGTTGAGCCACCGAGCCCGGCCGATTTTGTGATCTTTACATATCCTACAGACAGAAACAGGAACTGAAAATTTCAAGAATGTTATTATTATAAAATAAGACTTATTTATATTCTATTATTGGAATACATTTTTCTTTCTTTCTTTCTTTCTTTTTTTTTGAGACCTATTCTCACTTTGTTACCTAGGTTGGAGTGCAGTGGTAAGATCCTGACTCACTGTAGCCTTGACCTCCTGGGCTCCAGTGATCCTCCCACTTCAGCTTCCCAAGTATTTGGAACTACAGGCACACACTACCATTCCTGGCTAATTTACTTTTATTTATTTATATTTTTTTGTAGAGATAAAGCCTCACTATGTTGCTCAGGCTGTGGATTAGGTTTTTTGCTTACTTAATCAGTTATTTCAGATCAAAAAAGTAAAACTCATAGTTTTCTTTTGGTGGGGGGGCTAGGGAGGCAGGAGGCAGCGTTTGTTTTTTTTAAACAAGGTAACTAATTTGTCAATAATTTATAAGCTTGATTCTAGGTAATGTGTGAAAGCTAAAGAAAAATGTCAATAGAAAATATTCGAGTCTCTCACAGTATTTTTTCTCTTCGGGCATTGTTTCCATCTTCTTCCATATTTTCTCAGGATTAAGCCTCAAGAGATGCTAAACTCCCAGGGGAATTTGTTTTGATGTGTCAGACAAATTCTGCAGAAATGTCTGACATTATGACTTATAGGAGCACAGTTAAAAACATGATTTCCACATCTCAGACTTCATCATTTCAACCAAGACACAAGCATTGAACAATCCCATCCCGCATGCTTCACTAGTGCTTGTAAAGTTGGATATACAACTGCACTTGTGCTATTAAAATACATTATATTGCATTCCAGGCTTTATGGATAAGTGGTTTTTGTGTCCCCAGCTCATAAGGCACCCAAACGTCTTGCTTTTCTTCCTTTCTTTGTTAGCTTGAGGTGTAATCATATACTATTTTGCAGCTTCTAAGATTTATTTCAGTTCCGTTGTTGAACACTGAACTATTTAACACAAATATACCATATCTGATAATGAGAGTCAATATGTATCACAATGAGTTTTAGATAAAATTTTCATAACATTCCAATAGAATAATAGTTGATTAAAATTTACTCATTTAATACAAAATGATTTTACATAACTTATAATTTTCAGTGAATATAGATTGTTATTGTATCTATAATTCTCAGTTGTTACTTGGAGATGTGAATTTTAAACACTAAAGAGGAGCCCCTTAAGATATATTACAGTTATTTTGCTTTTACTCCCACTTGACTTTTGGAACAGATTTAATTTCATATCTCAGTTTTATTCATTTTTTAACCTTACAGTCATTAGCTGGGCTCCGTGGCTCAGCCTGTACTCCCATGCCTTGGGAGGTTGAGGTGAGTGGATTGCCTGAGCCTGAGGGTTCGAGACCCGCCTGGGCAACTTGGCGAGACCTCATCTCTACAATAAATCAAAAATTAGCCGGGCGTGGTAGTGCGCTCCTGTAGTTACAGCTACTTGGAAGGCTGAGGTGGAAGGATCGCCGGAGCCCAGCAGGTCGAGGCTGCGGTGGCCGGGAGCATGCCACTGCACTCCAGTCCGGGTGACAGAGTAAGACTCCAACTCAAAAAAAAAAAAAAATCTTACAGTCATTAATTCCAGAAGTATTTGTTAAGTAGTTTTATTTCTGAGGTATTGTAGTAAAAACTGGGGCACTGAGATATTTGTTTCTTGTGCAACCCTGAGCAAGATCATTAAATTCCATAAGTTTCCTTGTCTGTAAAATGCAATCAATATCTACTCATAAGAACATAATGAGGATTAAATGAGTGTATATTTATAATGAATTACAAATTGCTGAACATACACAAATATAAAATGAATATATAAAAACCTTGAACAATAAAGGAATCTTAAATTATCACTCAACAGCTGGGCTCAGTGGCTCAGCCTGTACCCCGCACCTTTGGGTGGCTGAGGTGAGTGGATTGCCTGAGCCCACGGGTTCGAGACCCGCCTCGGCAGCGAGACCTCATCTCTACAATAAATCAAAAAATCAGCTGGGCGTGGTAGCGCGCGCCTGTAATTCTGGCTACGTGGAAGGCTGAGGCGGAAGGATCACCAGAGCCCAGCAGGTCGAGGCTGTGGTGGCCGGGAGCGGCCACTGCACTCTAGTCTGGGCGACAGAGTGAGACTCCAACTCAAAAAAAAAAAAAAAAAAAAAAGAAAAAAAAATTATCACTCAGCAAATTATGTCAAAGTAATTAAAAACTAAACATTTTTTCCTACTTTAGAATTCAAAGTCTGTTAAAAATGATAATACAAAAAATATCAGTATTTTTGTAACATGAATCCTTTGTCACAATATAATATTTTATTGCTAATGACATTAATTCATAAGTTATGCTGATTTTGTTTTAAGATCATTAAGCTATATTTTGTCATGTTTTAGACTTTATATTGTATTATCAATATCTTTTTTATTTCCTCCTTAGATAACAAAAGAATATTTGGTTAGAAAAATGTCATAATTTGTAAACTAATCCCTTCATTTATCAGCAGCGTGCCAAACTTATTATGTGAATGCTTTTACTTTCTCTTTTATTTAGGCAACAGACCCTGATGCTGGAATAAATGGCCAAGTGCACTACAGTTTGGGTAACTTTAATAATCTTTTTCGTATCACATCCAATGGGAGCATTTACACAGCAGTGAAACTTAACAGAGAAGTCAGGGACTACTATGAACTTGTTGTTGTGGCAACTGATGGAGCAGTACACCCTCGTCATTCAACTCTAACACTGGCCATCAAGGTTTTAGACATTGATGATAATAGTCCTGTGTTCACCAATTCAACATACACTATTGTTGTGGAAGAGAATTTGCCAGCTGGAACCACCTTTCTTCAAATAGAGGTATGTGGAAGAAGCATTCATTTTATGAATCCTGCATTATAAAATTTGCTATTGGGTAGGTTTGTCAAATATAGTAAATAAAAATACAGTACATCTGGTTAAATGTTAATTTCAGATAAGCAATAAGTAAATTTTTATTATAAGCTTATCTCAAATATTATATATTTTATATGACAATCTTAATTTAGTGAAATTCCAAAATTTAAGATAAAAAAGGTGTATTCGTAAGAAATAAGATAATAACTTTTTAATAGTTATTTTTTATTTACAAAAGTAATGCTGCTTGTTTATTGCAACAGTTGGAAACAACAGACTACAAAGCAAAAGTTAATATCTTCTACATTGTGCTTCTTAAGTACTCTGTATTAAATTTGTATATGTAACATTTCACATTTATCCTTGTACTCACAAATATCAAACAAACATTTACATGGATATAAAAATGCCTTTATATGGATATGCGCATATATAATGCATAAAAGTATACACATATACACATAACTTATGTATGTTTCCCCCATGTTTCACAGATATGATTACACCTATTATTCCATATTTTTTCCACATTCAATATACAACAGACATCTTCTAAGACTCTAACTTTCCTTTTTAATAGCATCTCCATATTCAAATATTTTTTTCCAAATTTCATCTATAAATTAGCAAAAGCTCTGAACATTTTGATTCAGTAGGTTAGGTCGATCCATATATTTGCACTTTTTAGCAACCAACCCATTTAATTCTGACTCAGGTGATCTCAGATTATATATCTAAGGGGAGATCTAGTAGTGCAGGCTTCCCCTGCTAGGGAAGTGTTCGAAGAACCCATTGGCATCACTGTACCAGCCAACATTGTTGTGAGAGACTGCTTTTGGCTTCAGTGAATTTTTCTTTTCTTTTCTTTTCTTTTTCTTTTTTCTTTTTTTTGAGATTCTTTCAGTGCATTTTTCCATTTCATGATGGGTGATAAATGAACACATCTGCCCACACCACACTGAGTGTTCAGCAATTTTTACCCCAAAACAGCATGACCCTGTATCCCACCCTCTCTATTCACCTGATCTCACTCCAAGTGACTTTTTGTTTGTTTGTTTGTTTCCTTGGATTTATTTGTTTGTTTTCTTGGATGACAAAAGTCCTCAAAGGGAAACGTTTTACCTATGTGGAAGAGGGAAAACAAAAAAAAGCAGAAGCACTAAAAGACATCAAAATGAATGAGTTAAAAAACTTTTGAGCAGAGGACAAGGTGTCTCAGTAGATGTATTAAATAAAATGAAGAGTACTTTGGTGGTAACTGAAGTTTAAACATGTAAGAATAAATACACAATTTGTATATATATATTTTTTTTTTCTTTAATTTTTTTTTTTAAGAGAAGAGGTCTCACGCTGTCACCCAGGTTAGAGTGCAGTGGTGTGAACATAGCTCACTGCAGTCTCAGGCTCCTGTGCTCCAGAGATCCTCCTGCCTCAGCCTCCCAAATTGCTGGGATTACAGGTGCATGCCACCAAAGAGACTAATATTTTTGTTTTGTTTTGTTTTCATTTTATTATATATGAAATCTCGTTATTTTTCTCATGCAGATATGAGCTATATTTTGAAAAAAAATCAATAGTTTCTGCACCTATAATCTATAACTTGAGTTTTGTTAGCATGGTTTTCAAGAAAAATCTGCAATCCTCAAGAAATACTCATTTACGGAATAAAGAATTAATGAATTTAAATAAGTCAAATATTAACCAGGGAGGGGACCATTATAGCTCCACTCATTCCTCCATTTGTCTATCAATGAATTAATTAGTTAATTCATTTATTGAACAAGCATATGGTCAGTGTCTACCATCTGCCAAGTCCTCTGCTAGACTTTGGGGACACAAATGTGAAAAGACAGATTTTGTGCCTTCTTGGAGTTTTTAGGCTGGTTTAGCAATCAGGTAAAAATTGATAGTTAAAACATAGATCTTCAATACAAGGGGCCCAGGATAATATAGATGGAGCTCCTAACCTAATCTGAGAACAAAGAGAATGCTTCTGAAGAAAGTTGTTTCTAAATTGTGAACTGAGGGACAGGTAAGAATTATTGAAGCAAAGAGGGAGGAAAGATTATTAAAGTAGTGTAGTCAAACCTGCTCAGAATCTTGGGTAAGGAGTAAGAGGCTAGCAGACTAGAAAATGTAATTATTTTTTTCATGAAGTTAAGGAGAAGAGGGTTGATTGAAAATAGAATTGCAACATTTTTCACAATAGCAAAAAAAAAAAAAAATGGAACCAACTGTGTCGTCCATCAAAAGAGGACTGGATAAAAAATGTGATACTTATACACGATGGAATATTACACAGTCATAAAGAAGGACAAAATTATGAACTTTGCAGCAACTTGGATGAACTGAGTATGAATACTGAGAGATCTATCACAGAAACAAAGAACTTGGTACTTTTGATACTAATTGCATTTTTTTTGCCTGAGGTATGTTTGCCAATCTGTACTACTGAATACAATAGCCATCCTACAAAACTTCCATGAAAACCCATCCTTTCAGCTAAAGAATGTCATTCCCAATTTTGGAACATCTTTTAGATAATTTATCACTTTTTTTCTTCTATTTTGGTATTTGTGTCTTATTTCTTCTTCAAGACCATAACCTGGAAGACAGAATTGTGTCTTGATGTATCTTGGTGCTCTTTATGCATAATTACTACTCAAATATTAGTTAAATAAATAGAGGTATAATGGGGTGATTTCTAGGAATGTATTATAGTATACATGTAAGAAAGAATTGCTACTTATATTTTCTTAGCTTTCTTATAGTCCTTTAGCACTCTATTACATTTATGGAAATCATTCAATATTTACTTTTATTTCAAATACTATTTTCATGATTACTGAATTATCAGGAAATAAACAATCATTTGTGACAGTATTTCTTTACTGTGGTATGATTCATTTAATTAGTGAATTTTTAAAGTTGATATGATAATAACATCAACAATGACAGAATCTCCGGGTAACTATTTCTTCTCCACTCCCTCCCAGTCTCTTCCTTCCTTCCTTTCTTTCTCCCTCCCTCCCTCTCTCTAGTAAATTATTTAACAAAGTGCTTTCTTTAAAAATGTGTCTTCTGGTTGTCATTAAATTCATGCTGTCCTAGGCAGTGATACACGACTTTGATTCATCCTGCATTTCTCTGTCTGTAATGTCAATGATATAATCACTCTTCTGCTTGTTACAGGCCAAAGATGTTGACCTGGGAGCAAATGTGTCCTATCGGATAAGAAGCCCAGAAGTGAAGCATTTTTTTGCACTGCATCCATTTACAGGAGAACTATCCCTTTTAAGGAGTTTAGATTATGAGGCATTTCCAGACCAAGAAGCAACTATCACTTTTCTGGTGGAGGCCTTTGATATTTATGGAACAATGCCACCTGGTATTGCGACTGTCACAGTGATAGTAAAGGTAAGGAATACAAATACCTTTTGGTTGCTATTCTAATCTCCACATGTACTTTTATTGAATATGATACCTATAATACTTATAACAATTCCTAATAACAGAATGGTACCAGACCCACAACAAAGATTTTTGAATGTGAAGTATTTATGAAGACTCGAGAAATCACTATATTTTTAAACAATAAAAAACTGAGCATGAGTTCAAAAACTATAGCTGTTTGAATTTACCACTAGCTCTGTGACATCATTCAAGTCATAACTTTTCTGGACTACAGTTTAGTCCAAATTTCACAACATCAGAGATAATAACTTAATTCCATCTCTTTCATTAAAAAAGTTATTTTTAATTACTCTGAAGCATTAAGAATTCTTAGTCCCTAGAATTAATTTAATTTGGAAACCCAAAATCCTGTGATGAAATAACCAGTGGAGTCAGATGGAGTTGGGGTTAAGTTCTGGCACAAACATTTTCAAGTTCTATGACCACAGGGACTTCATAAACCTCTCAGGATTTGTTACCCCACTTGTTATAATAACTTGTGCCAGATGATTGACCCCAAAAGCTTGACATTTTAAAACTTTTAGGTTACTAGTGATTTTCTTCTTTTTCTTTTTTTGAGTTGGAGTCTCACTCTGTCGCCCAGACTGCAGTGCAGTGGCCGCTCCCGGCCACCGCAGCCTCGACCTGCTGGGCTCCGGCGATCCTTCCACCTCAGCCTTCCAAGTAGCTGGAACTACAGGCCTGCACTACCACACCCGGCTAATTTTTTGATTTATTGTAGAGATGAGATCTCACCAAGTTGCCCAGGCGGGTCTCGAACCCGCGGGCTCAGGCAATCCACTCACCTCAACCTCCCAAGCCGCGGGATTATAGGCTGAGCCATCGAGCCCGGCTTACTAGTGATTTTTTTGAGGTACATCTTAAAACAGGCATGTTCTACCTGTAGCCCATGGGCCGCATGCAGCCCAAGATAGCTGGTAATGTGGCCTCACAAAATCTTTCAACTAATAAAAAGTATTTTAAAAGTCTTTATGTATATACACTAACTATATTATATAATTTATGTGTGGCCCAAGACAATTCCTCTTTCCTCATTGTGGCCGAAGGAAGCCAAATGGTTATTCATTGTGACCCAGGAAGCCAAAAGTTTGGGCACCTGTGCCTTAAAAGTAGACATAAGACTAAATCCTTATAAGTTGATCATTCTCAAACATTAGTGCATATAAAGATCACATGAGCTGCATCTAAACCTTCAAGATTCCTCTTCTCCTTCCTCAAAGAAGCACCTATCTCATGAAGCCGTCATAGACATCAGCATGTTAAAAACATACACGTATGATTCTTATATGGATGCCTGAATGTCACATGTTGTGAAAGTCACTTCAGTTACAAATATACACATACAAAGAATTCTTGAGTTTCCTAAATGAATACAGTATTTAAAAAATGATCTTAAGTGACATTTGTTAGGTAATGTAATTCTCACCTATGAATGAAATTGCAACTGTTCACTTTAACGTATTTTTTTTGGCCCTGAATAGAGTCTGAAAAAGACAGAGCTAGTCAGAAGGAAACAGAAATATGCAAATAGAGCAACAGAAGTGGGAAGCAGAAAAAGGAGATAGAATGTCTATAAGACAAATGAAGCACTTTACAAAGAAGTTTATAGTCTTTCAACAAGATTGTGAATAAAATAGATGAATATGCATACCTAATTGAATAAGAAATTTAATTTTAATAAGATATATTGATTTACAATTTATTCACAGTTATAACTTTGCTCTACCAAAATATGATTGATGATTATGACTCAGATTTTACTAGGTGACAGTAAAAATCAAGTTTCTGTGTTAAAAATAAAATCTATGATCTTAGGAAAATATATGGAGGAAGAAGGTAGAAATTGTGAATGAAAGTTTAGTTACGAGATCATACTATAGGACTGAAGTAAAACGTTTGTCAATCACACATTGGTCTGCTATGTGGTGAAGCTAGGTGTGTTTCCTGCAGTCACTAGAAATCTTTAAGAGCTGAATGGAAATAATGTTACTTGACTCACCAGCTTTGTTAGGTTATCTGATCCAGGAGATCATGCGGAAAACCCTAGACACCTAAGTTCATTTAAACTTTGACATCATTACATTTCAGATTGTATTTGTTCCCATGAGTTCCTTTTAATTCGTTCTTTTGAAGTGGCTAGAGTTACAGTCCATTATGTGTTTAAAGTTAATAGTTTAGTTGGGGTTACCTGGGGATAAATTACTTAGAGTTTTATATCATCTGGTTCTTGTTGGATACATGAAGACTGTAGGAAGGCACAGATGCATTTCTGCCTAGAATAAGAATTTACAGACATGACTCTGTTTTTCCTTCCTTCCTTCCTCTCTGCCTCTGTTTCTCCCTTCCTCCTTCCCTCCTTTCCTTCCTTCAAGGGTTAGCAATATTTCTTTAAGATCACCTTTAGCCCCACTCGGTGGCTCAGCCTGTAATCCCAGTGCTTTGGGAGGCTGAGGTGAGTTGATTGCCTGAGCCAGTGGGTTCGAGACCCACCTGGGCAACTTGGTGAGACCTCATCTCTACAATAAATCAAAAATTCAGCCGGGTGTGGTAGCACATGCCTGTAGTTCCAGCTACTTGGAAGACTGAGGCGGAAGGATCGCTGGCGCCCAGCAAGTCGAGGCTGTGATGGCCGGGAGCGGCCACTGCACTCCAGTCTGGGCGACGGAATGAGACTCCAACTCAAAAAAAAAAAAAAAGATCACCCTTAGATTCTGAATGTGCAATGTGAGTGTCTCTGAGGGGCTTTAGTAGAGGACTATGTGTATCCAGGGCTATAAGGTTAAACACGATCACAGGCAACTTTCCTACAGTTCTCATTTTTATAGGTACTACAATGTATCAGTGATAAAATAAAATACCATTCATTTTTCTTGGGTTGTTGGTTGGTTGTTTAACTGATCAATAAATTGATATATGCTTTTGGTTTTCTTAGACAAAATAATTATGTGAAAAAAAGATTTTACCATTGTATAATTAGCACCACTGTATTTCTTTTGTAGGTTAATGTTCTTGACCATAAGATTCTCAGGTCTGGATTTTTTTTCTAAAATAATCTTGCAATTAGAGTGGGACACAGGAATTATTCCACCATTGTTTCTTTTCACTTGATTTAAGCTAGTTTGTGGCACACATATTGATGTCATTTATTTTCTGGATTATTGCTGCCACTTCTAAACTAATTTGGAAATGCAATTCTAAACCCTTTTTATTTTCAAATGCTCTAGACCTGTCTGGAGAGTTTTATCAGGATCTGAGGTCCTCCTTTCTCGGGGGTCCACATGATTATATCCTTACTTCTTCCGTTTGGGTCTCTCAGTCTTAAAACATTTATCTATTTCATGGGGTAGGAAACATATCTATTTCAGTAAGTAAAAGCATTAGTATGCACTGGACGTGGTGGCTCAAGTCTATAATCCCAGCATTTTGGGGGGCCAAGGTGAGGGAATTGACTGAGCCCATGGGTTCGAGAATAGCCTGGGCAGTTTGGTGAGACTTCACCTCTACAATGAATCAAAAAATTAATCAGGTGTGATATTGCGTGCCTGTAGTTCTGGCTGCTTGGAAGACTGAGGCGTAAGACTGAGCCCAGCAGGTCGAGGATGTGGTGGCCATTAGCATGCCACTGCACTCCAGCCTGGGTGATAGAGTGAGATTTCAACTCAAAAAAATTAAAAATTAAAACATTAGTATGCACTAAGTTTTCTTTGGGAATAAAAACTCAAATTATAAAAATATTTTCTTGAGCAACTTGTTGTTTTTTTTTTTTTGTACCTCTTTTTTCTGAGACAATGATTTTCAATGCTCTAGTAGCCTGAGAAAGAATCAAGGGACACAGACAGTCAATCATAGCCTTGGGTGAGGGCTCCCAGTTTATGTTTCGAAATATTATTTAGGTACACTACTAAGGTATGACATTTAGCAATCTATTACAAAAATATTAAAGAACATAATGTTATTAGTGGTTATGAAGATGTCATGATAGGCAAGCAGATGAAAAAGACTAAGTTAAAAGTGACTTAAATGGACTAATTATAGCAAAATATCTTTTGGACCAGGTGACACATTTAGGCCATCTTACCCTGGTCTGTTATTGCCTGCCCACATGGTTTGGTGAAATTAAATTTTTAAAACATTAAAAATAGAAAAATGGTTTATTCATTGATGTTTCTGATAGAGAAGGGAAAAATAGACTTACTATTAATTACCTTCCCCCAGTCTACTCAGATTGAAAGATAGATGCTCAAATAATATGGCCTTCTCTCTGAGGAGGATATGGTTGATAATGATGTTTACTAATATAGTAAACACTCAAAGACTCTAGCTTGGCAAGTCGAGATTCAGTTTGGATTCATTTGCTGTGTTTGTTACAATGGAAGAAGTTAGTGGAGTCAAAATGGTCAAGCGATATCATCTTATGAAGAAAGATACGCACTAACTCATTCTCTGTTTGAAACTCAACCTTCTTAAAGTTTATGTTGCCTGACTCCCCCTTTATAAAATATAGGCTATCACTTAAAACTTCTACATCAGCATTTTGAAAGAAATTACTCTCTGATGGATTATTTTGTTCCTCAGATTTTGGAGAGTGTTAGTTTAATTTTTGTTGTCTCGGTTGTTTTATCTTATTTAGAGAAGTCAAACTATTACCTTGGTCAAGACTTCCTGACCCATGGAAAGTTATTTCTTATTTATTGTACATTTAAAACGAGACTTAATCAATATTGAATTATTGATGTAATCAATATCACATTTATTATTTCCATGTTGTTATAAGCATAATAAAATGTGCAAGAAATTTTCCCCATCTGACACTTGCTTTTCTTTTTTCTGCTAACTCAGAGTGGAGATTATCACAAAAAGGGCTTTAAAACTTTATTATATGTCATTGAGATCCATGAAAATATTATCTTGTTTATTTTAAATGGAAGAAAGGAGTTCAATTT